ATATACATAATTGTGTTCTGCTGAAATTGTACTTCAACAGAAAAGTATTTTAAAGATAGCAAACATTATTATAGATGCATTAACTATGTTTCTTATTCTTAAATACCTCCTAGTGACACACCTAGGTCAGTCTTCAAGGTCCAGTATTCAGTTGCAGTGAGGAGTTCCATCTCATTATAAAGATCTTATCACATTTCTGGGTAGAATATGCATGATGTGTTAGTTGGTTCCATTTTCCAACCTGGAGTCCTGAATAAAGTTCTGCTGAAATGCATGCAATGAATGCTAAGCTGGATGTTCTGCTGAAAATATCTGAGCCATTACTCAAGTGTCACCTTGCCCATTTCTTTTCTTTTTTTCATTTAGGATTTCAAGCACACCAAGTCTTTTGTTATTTAGAAGATTTCAGCCTCTGTGAGGGACACCAAATTCCTACTTGTTATACAAAACATCAAAGGGATTTTTAAACTCTATTCTGCAAATATTTTTATTTGTTCTTCTTGGGGTACATACTGAAAATAAATGTTGGAATATTCAGGATCAGAAGATACAGACTTTGTTGTGAAAAGTATTCCAGCTGTGTTCATGTTTATTTTTTTTAAATATCACTTTCTTTTAATTTATGGATAGCAGTAAGTGGATTATAAAGTAAATCATGTCTATGAAAGCTGCTCTTCATCCTCCTTACATGCATATTTAGCAAAGAAATTTCTTGCTAAGTCAGTAATTCAGGATCATGAGCTCTACAGGTTAGGATTTTCTATGACCCTTTATTGAAGGCTACTCTCGTAGTGTCTTTCTTGTCTGCCCCTAAAGGGCAATATGAAGGGCTCCAAGTTTTGCTGTTTAGTAGTACAGTGTTCCATGTTTACTAGTGCCTTAACTTTTTCTAACCTATTTGACAGGCAGTCAGTGAACAAGTACTCTGAAACTGCTCAGGAATGAACTTGGGCTGTCCTAAGTATTGTTTACCTTGTGTGTAATAGAAAGCTTCCAACCACTGTTATGCTGTATAACAAGTGTTAATGTTTGCAGCTACTTTTTCTACTGGAAGGTATAAAGATTTGTTAAGCTTTCTCTTTGCTACAGATTTGTATGTGTACATTGCACTGTGATGGAAAGTGGTGCCAACAAAACTAATGCAGCATTATTGCCTGGATTTTCTGTTAGAACAGTATTAAGAAATAAATGGCCCGTAGTGTCTGACATGATTGGTCTATTGCAAACTTATTTTCAGTGCTTTGCAGCCATCACTACTTTTGCCATGGTGTTGAAATTTGGCTTTCCAGATGTGTGGAGTTGCCTTAGCAAGAACACTTCTGTCCGCAGCTGTCACCTTTAACGCCAGCCCTTTTGAATCTAACTCTGTAATGAAGAACCTTAGCCACAGGGAGGGGAAGTAACAGGTTTACCAAATCTGCTTTAGTACCTGCACTAGTACACAACCTGCTTAGTCTCTCAATGATTCTATAGGTTTGTTCACATGAACTTGTCTCGGACGGCCAGGGCCGACTCGAGTTACGCTCGTACGTCAGGGCGGGCTGGTGAATGGAGAGGCAGACACAACTTATTGGTTGTAAAAAAACTTTACTCACGCCGCTTGCAATCACGACGCAGGTGGTCCGGTCGTCGGAACAACCACACAAGTTGTTCCAGCTGGCGGGGCCCAAGCCAGTTAATCCGTCCGCAATTCAAAGCCGGCGGGGGAAGCGGGACGTCGGGGTTGCGCTCGGCGACAGGAAGAAAGATCGATAGGTGATCAGTCTATCGATCGGCAGCTGCAAGTCAGATAACTTCAGAGGCACTCTGCAGCGTGCTCGAGACACTCTGCAGTGTGCTCAAAGCTCTTCGACTTGGGTGGAAGTCGTGCGGAATTTTAAACGGCCAGCGAGCCAATTACTAGCCGCCACGTGTGACTAATTTAGCACTGGCCAATAGCGGGGCACAAATTTGCATCCGAATAGCGGGAACTCTTTGCACCGTGCATCTCTGTGCTGCAAAGAAGAAATGTATCCTGCAAAGGAAACTGCAAATTGGCGGGAACTCTCCTGCACGCAGGCTCTTAATTGCAGCAGAACACTGTGCTGTGCAAAGGAGCTCTCATGTGGCCGGGAAATTCCATAGTGCCGAGGCACCAAAAAATCACTGGGTCGTGACAGAACTCATTAAGGTTTCATTGCAGAAAGGTATTTGCATTCAGGACACCATAGACCTACTTGTGCTTAAGTTTCATTGACATAAATGTGAACACATCCAACAACTGTCCTGACTACAGGTACAGTACTCTAGGTTGGTTCCTTTTGCTGAAATTCAGATAGCTTGCATTGTTTCAAATGCTGGGTTAGCAGGGCATAACTCTGGAAGTTTCAGGGGAGATAGAGAAGAGGGAGCATGTTAGTTGCACCCGGCTTTCCCAACTCCAAAGAGATCAGGTACTTTAGTGGGGCTTTTTTGGTGCTTTTACCTAATAGCTGATTGAATCAGCTTTAGCTAAAAGCACCAAAAAGCCTTGCTGAAGCACCTAATCTCTACAGATGCTGCAGAGCTGGGTCAAAGAATGCGCTCTACTGGAAGTAGTAGTGCATTATTTTTTTCCATGTCCGTCAGTGCCCTTAATTACTACTGTAGAATAAGCTTCAGAAACACTTCAGTAACATTTTTTTCCTCACATTTTCTATCTACATGCTGCAACGATTTAAATCAACAATATAAAACTGCTTTATAGAAACAGTGTGACAGCTTTAAATGGCTGAAATCTTTAGCACCCAGATAAACAGGTTGAGATTTATAAATCATAGAGTGCCTGTTCTATGAAGCTTGATCTGTGTATCACACCACGAAGTTCTACCTTACACTTTAGATCAAGTGCAAAGCCATTAGGTTAAGCCAAACATTTCAGACCTCAAAAAGTATATTACAAGGAAAACAGGAAATTAAGGCACCACTTGGAGAGAGACTTGAATCTGAGTTGTTTAATATCGGGCAAGTGCCCTGACCAGTAGATGAATTGGTTGTCATTAAAACCCCTCTCTCTCTCAGCTGATCAGGATTAATAGCATGTCATCCATTTCAACTGTTGTTTCAGGCTGTCTGCATTCTGATGTTTGCCTTAGTACTTGGTATGTGAAGTGACTTGTATACTTCGTAAGGTTCGTCAGTCAACCTTACTGCATGTACCAGGTGGTTTGGGCACGCTTCCATCAGCTCCTTGTGTACCACCTTCCTATCTTCTGCAGCTGCAGTCTCACTGCAAGTCTCCTGCTCTTCCCCTCAACCAAGTACATTGTATGTGCTCTACCCTCTTCCCAATCTTTGGGAGATTAAAGAAACCATACCGTCAAACATGTTCTTCTTATCCCCTTTTTCCTTGGCAAGGGTTTTATATGCTGTCCCACAACATTATAGGAGAGTGCTTATAAACAATGCAGCTTTGCTAAGATGCTAACTCCACCACAAATCTACAACCCTTCACTCTTCATCTCTTTCATTTATATACTGGACTGACATTCTGAAGAATCACACTGTTGACTTAAAAGCAGTCAAAAAGAGATTACCTTTATAGTTATGTTCAAGTATGCTATACATTAGCCCCCTTCATGGAAAACTAGCTTTTACTCCTGACAGGTGAGAAACCACAAGAAGGGCACAGGAGCTGAAGTATTCATTCTGGACATATTTAGAAGTTCAAGCTAAGGGAAACTTGCCTACACCAGGAATCTGATAAAGTGGAGGTAACCCTGCTTTTCCTGGGGACTTCCAAGCAGAAGGTAGAACAGGGTGGTTTCTTAGAGATTAACTGGTTCATAGAAGCTTTCATAGGCAACAGCCTGTTTCTTCAGTCTGTTCAAAGCATCTAAAGGCTGTTGCCTATGAAAGCTCATGCCTCTGTGAACCAGTTACTGGTAACCAAAGCCACTCTATTCTAACGAGACTAACCTAGTTAACTACCTTCTCTAAGAATTCTCAAGGGCACTGGAAAACAAGTTACTTGTATACAACATTCTCATCTGCCAAGAGGATTAGCATTAAATTTTAATAGTTGATCCATGTATAAGGCCTGTTTGCTCACATCTCTCATCTACATCTTTAAGAGGCTTATAAAGGTTTGGCAAGATTCGGCAAGATTCTGAGGAAGAATTTGTTAAAGCTGTAGAGGAAGTACAGTCTAGGAATAAGACATTTTCAGTAGACCTAGAGATCTTCCAAGCCCCAGCTCTGTGTGTGTGTGTGTGGGGGGGGGGGTGGGGGGGGGGGGGGGGAAGGGGTGGTGGTGGTGGTGAAAGAGACCTACACTCTGACCCAAACCAAGGCTTATAACAGTTCAGTAATTAGATTCTACAGCAATCTAGTAAGAGGCCAACAGTAGTCAGTCAGTTCCTCCTCCCCCACACTCCATAGTGTTTCTGAGCAGATACAAGTAGCTTAAGCTTGATAACGGGCTTTTCTAAAACAGTAAGGGCTAGAAAGTTTAGATTCAAATTCCAAAGAAGATGGCAGCCTGCAGAAGAAGCCAATGTACCAATTTGTCTAAATCAGTTCAACTCGCATGTGCAGTTACATAGAAGCTTCCATTTAAGCTCACAGAAGTCTTCAAACATGGAACAGCCACATGGATGTAGGAGTGCTTTACTTACATGTTTTATTGTACTTCTCTGAGGTTTATCACTGGTAGTTGATCCATACGTAAGGGCATATACTGACAGCTTTAAAAGACAAAGCTATTTTTTGTGTCCCTCTTTGTACGTTTAAGAATTAATGTAATCTTAAACAAGAGATGAGACTTCCAAGCACATTTTAGCATTTTTGATTTCTAAGGGAGGGTTTTACTAAATATGGCTATTTGCAAGATTAGAAACATGTTATGTTGAGTTTAGAATCTATACCACAGTTCTTAAAGTACAAGCATGTGAAAGTGAACCACAACATTTATTATGTTACAGCTGCCAGCCTATCCAACAACAGTTCCATGAGAAAACACTGCTGCTTGGAAAACCCAGGGTTCCAAGATCACTTCTGAGCTGCTTCCAAGTTGGGTTCTAAGAGGAGAAAAGAAAGTCACATTATTTTCAGGTTATTCAAACTTCAAATACTATTCAGAGCCACACATCCCTATTCTAACAAATTAAAGTTATTAGGACACATTTACAAAAATGTTATCAGCAGGTAACTACATATAACAGCTATTTGTAATCAAGGGTTGAAACAGTGGTGCAGAGGGACATTTAGCAAACAAGTAATTGTAGCGTGTGCAGCATTTTCCCAAGTTAGTCATTACATACATCAGGAAGGAGACATTTAACTGTCTAATTACTGTAAAGATCCTTGGTCAGAATGCCGTTGAGAAAAACATTAATGAGATGAGAACATATACCAGTCTTTCTAGCACAAGTTACCTTAAAAAACAAACTGCCATGTGTATACAGATACAGAAAGGCTAATTTTAAACTCTAATCTACTTTAAAGGAGTGAAGTATATTACTTTAATGGTTAAATCCATTAAGCCATTATGGTATATGGTTAAATCCTCAAAGAGTTTTGAATCTCTTTGAGTCTCTTAAAGAAAATGAAAGAATTATTGGGGGGGGAAATCTGAACACACCTGACCTTTCCCAACACCACAGCTATATGCCTCATTTTTCTGCAGAATTTTCACTTATGTTTGTATTCGAAGAGTTCTTGGTAGACAAACCGCTGCAGTCAAAATAAGACTTTCCTGATAGCTTCCGTATTTACACAAATAGGAGACAGCCCTTGATTCTAAGAGGACCCTGAGCACAAAGAAGGAAGGAGCGAATTTGAAAACAATAACCTTGAAATTAAAAATGGCTGTAACCATTTCCACATAGTACTCATACACTTACATCATTTCTGGATAAATTATGTTACCTTTTTGGAAACCGCTGCAAGTTTTAGAGCAGGTGTTCCATAAACACACTTTTGAACAGCACTTTGGCACCTACTTATATGCAGTACAAACTATGCGTGATATTAATCTAAAGCTAAAGGTTTGCAATTTACCACAGTTCATTGGGCTGGACCCCACCAAAGTCAACAGCATTTCAAGACATGGTGACCCCATACACACACGTATTGAGCAGTGCTGAGTTAACTCCAGAAACCCCTGCACGAAGGATCCATATACTAACTATCCCCCACCACTCATGATTGCAACTGGGTGTTTGTCACAAGTCCTGGAATGCTCCAAAAATATATATGCAACAAGGCAGAGGACAGTCTAGTCTGGCTTCACCTCATGGTGAAGAGAGGGGCCACACTAATCGTATGTGACAGGCATCATGTTGTGTAATGTCCACAGAAAGACCAATCTTGACAGTTGGACAAGATAGATATATTCAGTTTGGTCTGTACCAAGAAAAGTAGTAGCAGGTAAGAGTTATTTTTCTTCATAGATCCAACATGTAACATCCGAAAATGGCAACTCACAGCACTGAAACCTCATGCACCTAAGAAGTTGCTAGTTGTAGTCTTTATCAGATTTTCACTTAGTTTTTTAGACCTACCCCAAGCAATATTAGCTGAAAAGCAGCTAAAAAACAGCTTTCAGGCAAAGGGGACCCCAACCTGAAGTATAAATCGTCATAGCAGTCACACAGAGTGGAAAATGACAGACAGCTAGCATGTCAGATGGAAGACAATTTCACCACCCACCATGATTTAAAATAGCTTTGAGATAAGCTGCAGATGCAGTGTTCCTGACAGGTTTCAAACTGAGTCTTTAGCCTTAGAAATGGATTCGTGAACAGATATGTGCCCAACTAGATGGATCCCAAGGCTGTTTAATAATAGTCCTGTGCAAACAAAAGCTACATGCCACTTTCCACATTAAGAATGTGTGTTGGTCACTAGCAAAATAACTTCATTTATGCACCAGACTAAGGCTTAGTTTGTGTCTTGGAAATGATAGATTAGGCAAGTATGGCTTCAGGCACTCACGGATGTTAGAGGCAAACAAAATCTATTGGCATATGGTCATAAAACCTGAATATAAACAAACCCATGGTAAACTGGAAAACTTCATTTCATGTCCAAAAATTCAAAGCCACAGATGTTCAGATGTGTGCCGACTCTGACCCCAGTCAAACAAGGATCTTAATCCTAGAGGGCATTTGGCTCTCAACTAAACCATAAAATTTCAGAAAACGCTGGATTCTATTCACTAATTTAACTGTGTCATTATGGGATTTCGTCAAAACCACTGTTTTCCTGGTAAAAAAGGATAAATCAGTATTACTGTATAGAGTAGACAAACAGCAGTTTTCAGAAAATGTAAGCTGGAGAAGAAGAGGTAGCTTGGTACTTCTGGATTTTGGAGAGTTCCTCAAAATTTTGGTCTCTTTAGAATCCAAGCCAATCAATTTAAAGACATAGAAGCATGTCTTCATTCACACCCACGTGTCATAATAAATAAATCTCCTTACCTGTAAAACAGGCAAACTACACTTTTGAAATATGAAAAATGAAAAAAATAAAAACAATTCTCTCTCTCCTTTATCTTTTTACAATTAGTAATATCTTGACTAAGGCTTTAATTTTGGTATGGTGACTGTTTCCTAGCCTGTGCTGCTGAAGTTTATTACAGAGAGGTTCTGCAAATTATTAAGCTGCAGCTTCATCTTCTCTTCGTTAAACAGTAAAAGCAAAGAAAAGGTTGCAAGACTATGCTTTTACTTCACAGGGGAGGAAGGGAGGAGAGTGTCTTGTCAATTTACTCATGTGAATTACAAGTTTGTCTCTTATCTGCTGACACCAAGGGGGAAAAAAATAGGGGACTGGCTGAAATGACTATTTAGAGAATTCTTGTGCCAACTGTTCCAGGTGTGAGTGAAATTAATATTGTGAAAAGCATAAGTGGAAGCTAAACAGAAAGTCTTAACTTCGCAAATAAAGTACTAAAAAGAAAAATAAGCTTCTTCATGCTGCCTTACCAGTTCTCTTAATCTATGCATGGGGTAACATCAACTCAAAACAAGTGTCCTTTAAACTCAATTGTCACTCTAGTCATTAACTTTTTTGGCTGAGTTTTGACACAACTACCATTTGTTACAATTCTGTGCAAAAGACTACTAGAAATGAGACTCAAGCTAATAAACAAGACTAAGCATTTACTTTTGCAATCAGTCAAGTACACATTTGATTCACAGTAGACCTCTTAACAAGGAAATAAAAAAGGTCTCCATCCCACTACTGAGTTTCTCACCTGCATGCTTATGAAAGTAGAATTTGTACATAAAACTGTAGACTCACCCTCAAATTTAAAATCTGGAAATTTGGTTAGGTCTCCCCCACCATACAACCGCTGAAGTTTCATTATTTCTTCATTCATATCTTTCTGGTATTCAGGGCTCACATCAACTGGACCCCCTGCTTTCCTAGAATTACAACATTTCTGATCAAAATCTTTATTCTAAACATTTCACATTAAAATCTTCCCTTTTAACAGATTATTCTATGCAAATAGGAGACTGTCACACCCAACTAGAGAAAGCAGTTCAAATGTTTAAAAAAAAAACAAACAAGAAATGTTGCCTTCTGGTGTGTTCTACATTAAGCTTAGAGCTGAATGAAAGAATCATGCAATGAGAGTATTAGACAATGTTCTGCTTCTATAGACTGGACTGCAATTTCTGGACTGCTGAAGCTCTCACTTCCCAAGTAGCTGTGAACAGAGAGACTTGGCAATTAGTACTCTGAATAATCCCAAGTCCTTCGAGACTTGAGAGTTTAAAACAAGATGCTACTATTCTTGAAGTGGTAATAAATCTGCTGAAAGAAGGCTCCAGTTCTCTAGCAGGAACAAAAATGTTAACTGGAATAAGGTGAAGAAAAGCCTAATACACAAGTAACTTCCATAAGTAAGAACACATTTCCTAGAATATAACAACCCCGTAGGCTACTTAGGTTTACTACCACCCACATGCAGCTTCATGAACATTACATTACAAAAGTGCACTTTGAAATTAACTAGTCTGCCAGTTTGAAAATCCCATGTTTCAGTTACATCTCAAAAATAAGATCAATCCAGTGAAGGCACTTGAGATTTATATTTTTGTTTGATACTTCTGAAAGTGAAAAAGCTGTTTTAAATATTTAAGCATCAAACAAAGTTATAAATCCTAATTGTTCAGCATGAAGAAGATAAACGTTATTTGAAATTTTTACCAAAAATGTGTTTTAAATTTGTCTATAAGGTCTGGTCAGCAAATAAAATATTTTAGGCACCTGTAGCGGTCCCAGTTATCAATTCATGCACAACTAAGCAAGCTTATGAGCCCTATGGATGGAACAATCCCACGCACTGGTACAAGATGGGAGCTGACTGGCTGGGCAGCAGCTCTGCAGAAGAGGACCTAGGAGTTACAGCTGACAAACTGAATGAGACATCAGTGTCCCCTTGTTGCCAAGACGGCTAATGGCATCCTAGGCTGCATTAGTAGGAGTGTTGCCAGCAGGTCCAGGATAGCGATTATTCCCCTTTATTCAGCACTGGTGAGGCCACATTTGGAGTACTGTGTTCAGTTTTAGGTCCCCCACTACAGAAAGGATGTGGACAAGTCAGAGAGAATCCAGCAGAGGGCAACAAAATGATGAGGGGGCTGGGGCACATGACTTATGAGGAAAGACTGAGATAATTGTGCTTATTTAGTTTAGAGAAGAGAAGACTGAGAGGGGATTTAATTGCAGCCTTCAACTATATGAAGTGGGGTTCAAAAGAAGATGAAGCTGAACTGTTCTTGGCGGTGGCAGATGGCAGAAGGAAAAACAGTCTCAAGTTGCAGCAAGGGAAGTTTAGGTTAGATATTAGGAAGAATTTTCTCACTAGGAAGACAGTAAAACACTGGAACAGGTTAGCCAGAGAGGTGTGGTAGAAGTTCCATCCTTGGAGGTTTTTAAGACCCAGCTAGACAAAGCTTTGACTGGGATGATCTAGTTGGGGATGGTCCTGTTTTGGGCAGGGTGTTGGATTAGATGACCTCCTGATGTCCCTTCCCACTCTGATTTTCTGATTCTATTTTCAAATAGGGCTCCATAAAGCAGTAAGAGATGTCAAATAAATCCAGAAATATGCAGGCTGTTAAGAACCAAATTAGGGCACTTAATTTCTCTAAATTCTACTAAACTATTGTAGGGGAAACACTAATCCTGAAATGGAAACTGCCACTGAATGTATTTATTATCATTCCTTTACGCATCATTCAAGTTGCTTGGCAAAAGCTTTGTTTAAAAAAAAATATCACTTGGGCTTCAAGAATGGAAGACCCACCTACTTCCCACAGTGATACTAACAATAAAGTTATCAGAAAAGCAAAAATTCATTCTTTACAAAATCTTGTTTTTATTCCACATCAGGGTGGAAATAAGGGTGTTTTGCAAACAAACGTGAAACAGAGTCTAACAGGCTAAGAAGAATGTCTTCGGTCTGCTCAACAGTTAAGCACTACCCTGGGTCTCTTCCATCTCAGATTAAGTGCTCAATCAGGTTATACTCAGCCTCTCCTTACAACACAAGAAGCATCCATTAATTTTTGTATTGCAGAACAGCTCCAAACAGGAAAGAGATGAAGAGACCTACACAGAAAGACACAGTCAGTCTCAAAAGTGAGGGCACTAACTAGCGAAAGTTTGGAAGGTCCAAAACCAAGTCCTTGCTCTAAAAAGATGATTGCCCTCAAGGTTGGATGAAATTTTGAACTTCTAGAACTGATCACACAAAGTCAATTATTTTCCACCCAAATGGGCATTTCAAAACTCCCACCCATTCTAGCTAACGAGTTCTGTACTCCTAATCATGCCCATTAATGAGCGCAATCCCCGTTTTGACATTTTGTTACATCCTTCTCTTTACCATTCCCTTTACCTCATCAAGAGGGTTTTATTTGTGGCCAAATCACTGCCATTTACTTACTGGCTCTTTGAACTGTATTCTCTAATCTTGTCCACAAAGAGCTTCTGGACCGGATCCAGCTCCTTTGCCTTGTTAAATGCAATGGCAGAAAGCCCAATGTTCCTTCGCAAGTGCAAGGCGCTGGCAAGACGGAAGAGGGAAGAAAGCCTGAAGATATGCTGGAGAACCATGATGACCCTGAAAAATGAGAACATAACAAGGAGGCTCTTTCACAAACTCTTTCCTTTTTCTACTTCACAGAAGGGAAAAGAACAGGGGAAGAGTCTCAGCCCCACTGTATGCAGGACAAGTGCCTCTTATGCTTTTTGCTGGAAGTTTGCTGTGCTCCTCACACAAGGCCCTGTGCACAAATGAGGCCAGACCAAGCTCCTGTGAGCCGGGGGAGGAAGATGGAGAGCCGAATTCCCCAAACTAAACAGCAAAACGCAACCTGGCTTCCAAAGGCACGGTGACACCAGGGCTCAGTGCTGCTCAGCAGCTGGCAGGGCCAGACACTCCCCCCCCCCGGCCAGGAGCCCTCCCAACCCCTCCCTCTCGGCCCCTTCAACGCCGCGAACGAACCGCTCACTTTTAAATCGTAACCGCCTTAACGGTCGTAAACCCCCTCTCCCCAAGGGGCAACCACCCCCTTTCGCCCCAGGGCTACTTAGAAGGGGAGGCCCCGAGAGGGCGCAGCCTCCAGTACGGCGAGGCCACGCGCGGACTTCAGCGCTCCCGGCCCCAAGTCACCTTGGGCGAGTGTCAACCAGCGCCGGCCCCGCCCCCCGCGCGGCACGCCGGGTAGCGCCCGCACGCAAGGCACGACAGGAATTCCCTGCCACACCATGGCACCCCTCCCCCACTCCCCGGCGCGGCTGACCCAGAGCCTACAGCCACCGGCGAAAGGGAAGCCCGGGACTGCCGCTACCACTGCCGCCCGCACAGCCCCACACACGGCCACCAGAAGTGCGAGAGCGACTTCCGGGTCCCAGGGCAGGGCCGGAAAGTGCAGTGAGGGGCGTAGCCCCGCCCCCAGCGGACGCGGATTGGCGGGTGGGCGCGCGCGGGGCATGCCGGGATTTGTAGTCCTCGCAC